GGTCTCTCCCTGAACCTGGGGCTAGGCTGGCTCCAGCAAGCCTCCTGCCTCCACCCTCCACAGTGCTGGGTTATAAGTGTGTGGGCTCAGGTGGGCCTGTGTGAACATGTGCATTCATGCACGTGGAGGCCAGATGTCAATGCATGTGCCATCCCTCCACCTTGTTTTTAGACAGTCTCTCAATGGGATCTGCGGCTTATGATGAGGCCAGGCTGACTAGGCAGTGAGGCCCAGGGATCTGCCCCCCCCCCCCCCGGCATTGGGATTCCAAGCATGCACTAGCAAACACATGGTTTTGTTTGTTTTGTTTTTTTCATGTGGTTCTGGATATCTTCATGTTTGCACCGCAAGCCTTTTACTAGCTGAGCCCATGGGATTCGTGTTCTTGCCTGAGTTGCAATTTGCAGCCTCAGCTGTTGGCTGAGGGCACATCCATTGGTGCTAAGTCAACACCCCACCCCCCACCCCACCCCCACCCCCCCCACCCCTCCATATGGTTCCTGCAGCCCGGAAGTGAGAGCAGGCTCAGAGAATCCTGCGGAGAAGTACCTTGTCAGATTTTTTAAATTATCGTTTCTTTTACACTTTTTTATTAATTTATTTTTTATATTCCAATCCCAATCCCAGCTCTCCCCCCCCCCACTCTCCCTCCCATCTGCTCCTTGGAGAGGATAAGGCCGCCACCCTAGGAAGTCTAAGTCTGTCCCATCATCTCACTGAGGCTGGACCAAGGCCCCTCTCCACCCCCACACCCCTGTGTCTAGGCTGTGTAAGGTGTCTCTCCATATAGAATGGACTCCACTAAGTCTGTTTGTGCATTAGAGTTAGATCTTGGACCCACTGCCAGTGGGCTCATACATTATCCCAGTCACACCATTGTCACCTATATTAAGGGAGTCTAGTTTGATCTTATGACCTTGTCAGATTTTTGCCTTTGTTTTCTAGGGTCTCCTGCTTCCAAGAAATGCCTTCTTTGGGGCAGGCCTCTGACTCCGGCTGGCTTTTGCCTCATTATGTAGCCCAGGCTGGCCTCAAACTAAAGATTACCCTGGATTCCTGGGCATATATACTCCATCTTTTGTTCACCCCCAAACCATAAAAATCTCAGGGACCCTGGTCAGACCAGAGCACCCCTTTGTCTAGCTGTCAGCTGGAGGACTCAGAGAAGGGGCATTCTTGGCTGACGTGAGGTTTCCATCTGAAGGAGTCTGTGTGCTCTGGGGCTCATCTGCTGATGATGGCTTGAGCTGCCACAGCCTTCGAGTCCCTTCCAAGTAGACAAGAGCGATGACTCACACAGCTGAGACAGCACTGCCTAGGTGTCACGGCTGAAATTTCTAGCACAGGTGTGTCCCACCAACAGACATGGCCACTGTGATGAGTGAGAAAGGACTTTTCCCACACTGTTGTGGCTCTGGGTGCCCCGTCAGCCCCTGCTGACCACACATGGTGAGGCTTACCTTGCTGTTTCTACTCACTCCTCACTCAGCACAGCAGGTCCCTCCAGAGCTCTCAAGTCCAAGAGCCCAGGACCCACAGCCACAAAAGATATCTGTGTTCTTGCTGTGATTCTACAGGAATCGGACGATTGGAAGGTGTCGTTTTTCTTGGAACCTGTCGCTGTATTATTACTTATTTTAGTGTTTCATAAAATCCACATTTTTGTTGATTTTCAAAACTGAAAGCCAGTCACTAAATATTTTCCAAACGGACAATACTCACACGGCTATGAAAAAGGTCCAAGCATATATAGTAAAAACTTAATCTCCTTTTCCCTCCCCTTTAGTCTCCAGAATTGGCAGCTGACGATGCTGTTCCCGCCACCAGCTTGTCCTCCAGAGATATTTAGAGCCTCTCACACACAGCCCTTTCCAACCTATCCACAAGCGGCAGCACCCTGTGCCCATGGACCCCCTGTGGGTCTCAGGGGTCTGTCTTGAAGCAGGTGTTAGGTGTTGCCACTCAGATTCACTGTAGTTCAGTTCGCTCTGTCTGGACCGAAAGGAACTTCACAAAGGGTGCGTCCTTCTCTCCTCCACTTTCAAAATAAGCAGGAAATGGTGTACTTTCCTGTCAGTGGGGGGAAAAAAATAGTATCTTTAAATACCAAATTTCCACCATGCCCAGGGTCCACTAACACGTGAGTCTCCGCAGCTAGCTTGAATATGTGTGAAGGTCGGAAGAGCTCTGCAAGTGTCTGCTGTGAGTAGTACATTGGGATAGGCTGTTTCCCTAGAGCACTTCATAGCCAGCCATGAGACATGCAGAGGGATCCATCCCTAAGCCCAAGGCTCCAAGCTCACCCATGGGCTGGAGGGCTCCAACCCCTGTGAGTCCGGGGAAGCTGGGGCCTGGGAGACAGATCACAGGCATGGAGAGGCAGAATGATGATCCCTGGCTTTGCCTCCTTTTGGGGTTAGCTTTGCTATCTTCTCACACTGGGAGAAGGAGGAAAAATGTGACTCTCATGGGGTAGCTCATCTCTGACCTCTGAGGGACTGCTTTCATATCGCCTCGTGGCATGTCTTCCCATGCCAAGGAAGATGAGCCTCATATTACAGGCCTCGTGGGCTAAGTGGCAATCCCTGCCTGCTCACCTGTCAACCACAGACATATGAAATCACACGTTTTAGGGGTTACCCGTGTATTTATTTATTATTTATGGCTCACTAGATTATTTTTGAGACAAAGTCTCAAATATCCCAGGTTGCACTGAAGCTTGCCATGCAGCCAAGTGTGAGGGTGGGTTAACCTTGACCTCTGATCATCTCCCAGTTGCTGGGGTTGCAGGTGAATCCTAGAAAGCTTAGCTTGTGTGGTGCTGAGGATGGAGTCCAATGCTTTGCACTCTCTAGGCCATCATTGTAACCACACAGCTACATCTCTGGTCCTGAGGTGACCGCTGCTGAGTTCAGAAAGCGCCATGACACAGGACTAACCAGCTTGACTGCTGCAGAGAGAGAAAGCACCAGAGAGAAAGGTCCCGCCTGCCCTCTTGACACAATGGACGCTTGTGCTTTTCCTGGAGTTGAGAGCTCCATCACAGACGGTCCAGAGCAGATCGTCTCGGCCCAGAGCATCAGGAAAGAGGCTGGCTGAGATGCAGAATGCGCAGGCAGGAGGTGGTGCAGGAAGGAGCCATGGGTGGTTCTGCCTGAAACCATCATGAGCAGGGTGCAGTGGGTGTGGAAACGCTTGCTGTTAAAAACCATGAGCTCTGCTTTCCGTTTCAGTGGGGAAGCCCTGAGGTGCCTTCAGACTTCTAAGGGTTCCGTCTGTGGTTTCAAGAAGCAGATGAGGAGGCCCAGAGGAGCGGTACGGAGTGGGCAACCAGTACGTCCTGGTTGGGAAGCAAATGGCAAGAGAACAAGCTTTTTTATCTGACCTGTGCAGAAATGTCATCTTTCCCCAGTCTGGGCCATAAGGGAAAAAGAATAAAGGATAGGTTAGGACTGGGATGATCCCAATATATTAGTCACTCAAGCCAAGGGCAGCAGACTGGCTGAACCCGCCCTCCTCTGCCCAGGGTCAGCTGGCCCTTCTGTGAACACAGAGCCGGGCTTACAACAATGCTTGGTCTTCCTGTCGGGCTGTGCCGGTGAGATGAGGATGGAGGCGTCTCCCACACAGTGTTAACCACCCCAAGAAACTCCTGGGTACCATGAAACAGGGACGTGGGACTATGCTGGTTATCATCCTCATGGCTGGTGACCAATACCCAAGAAGGAGTGGCTTAAAGGAGGAGGAGGTCGCAGGCAGGCTCTTCTGTGATGGACCAGACCTGTCTGCTACGCAGCTCGTTCTTGGCTCAGGCTGCAGACCTTTTTTCCCCCTCAGGAAAGCGTCTCTGTGATCTTAGCCACATTGGAGCTGGTCAGAACTGAACAGCTGCCTCAGCAGGTGTGACACTTCCCCGCTAAAGTAGGTGACAGGATTGCTCTGGCTGCAGGTGCCAGGCGCAGTGGCAGGGTGTCGGCTGCTGCATCTGCCAGGTGGAAAGCCTTGGATGTGCCACAGCTCAACTCCACTCCCCATCTCCTCTTCTGTGAGGTCTGGGCCCCCAGCCCGTACACGGTTTGCCTGTGTAGCTCTGGCTGGCCTGGAACTCACACTGTAGACCAGGCTGGCCTCCAACTCAGAGATCAGCCTGCTTCTGTCTCCCAAGTGCTGGGATTAAAGGTGCACACCACCACTGCCCAGCTAGAGCGGGTCTTTCCACCTTGTAAAAATCCTTCGCATGGGGCTGGAGAGATGGCTCAGCAGTTTAGAGCATTTGCTGCTCTTCCAGAGGACCCGGGTCCAATTCCCACTACCCACATGGTGGCTCACAACCATCTGTAACTCAAGTTTCAGGGAATCCAACGCCCTCTTCTGTTCTGGACATCGGGCACACACATGATGAACAAATATATGTGCAGGCAAAGTATCTATACACACAAAATAAGGAGGTCTCCATAGAAATTATAAATAAATAAATCAGCTCCCTCGCAGACCTGCTGAGATATTTGTTTCCACAGTAATTCTAAATCTTATCAAAGAGTGACAAGATGCAAGGTCTGCTCTTGCAGAGGACTCGGTCAGGGTAGTCCCCAGCCTCCTGTAATCCCATCTCCAGGAGAACCAATGTCCTCATCAGGACTCATCAAGCACTCACACATGTACCCTTCCACACACAAACACATACATGCAATTTTAAAAAAAGCCCCAGCAGGCAGTGTGGTACAGGTATGTGCCTTTACTCCCAGCACGGAGGAGACGGAGGCAGACAGATCTCTCTGAGTTGCAAGCCAACCTGGTCTACATAACGTGTTCCAGGGGCAGCCAGGGATGCACTTTGAGACCCTGTTTCAAACATTAAAAAACAAATGTTTTAAAAGGCAGCCTGAGTGAAGGTGAGATTCGGTAGACGCCAGTCAGCCGTTTGCTTCCTCCCGTGTGCCCCACACAGCCAGCGCGAACTGCAGTCCTCTAATGTGGCCGTGTTTCCCCTTCTGGCCCAGGCTCCACCATGCCGACCGCCTACCCTGAATTTGATCTAGAGGACTTTGTGTATGACGAGTCTGCTGAGGCCTGCTATGTGGGCGACATCGTGGCATTCGGGACCATCTTCCTGTCCATCTTCTACTCCCTCGTCTTCGCCTTTGGTCTGGTGGGGAATCTGCTGGTGGTGCTGGCCCTCACCAACAGCCGGAAGCCCAAGAGCGTCACCGACATCTACCTCCTGAACCTGGCCTTGAGCGACCTGCTCTTCGTGGCTACCTTGCCTTTCTGGACCCACTACATCGTCAGTGAGGAAGGGCTCCACAACGCCGTGTGCAAGCTCACCACCGCCTTCTTCTTCATCGGCTTCTTTGGGGGCATATTCTTCATTACTGTCATCAGCGTCGATAGGTACCTGGCCATTGTCCTGGCCGCCAACTCCATGAACAGCCGAACGGTGCAGCATGGTGTCACCATCAGCCTGGGCGTCTGGGCGGCAGCCATCCTGGTGGCGGCACCCCAGTTCATGTTCACAAAGAGAAAGGAGAAAGAATGTCTGGGTGACTACCCCCAAGTCCTGCAGGAGATCTGGCCCGTGCTCCGCAACTCGGAAGCCAACATCCTGGGCTTCCTGCTGCCGCTGCTCATCATGAGCTTTTGCTACTTCCGAATCATCCAGACGCTGTTCTCCTGCAAGAATCACAAGAAGGCCAGAGCCATCAAGCTCATCCTCCTGGTGGTGGTGGTCTTCTTCCTCTTCTGGACACCATACAACATCGTGATTTTCATGGAGACCCTCAAGTTCTACAACTTCTTCCCTAGTTGTGACACAAAAAGGGACCTGAGGCTGGCTCTCAGTGTGACAGAGACAGTGGCCTTCAGTCACTGCTGCCTCAACCCCTTCATCTACGCCTTTGCTGGGGAAAAGTTCAGGAGATACCTTGGACACCTATACAGGAAGTGCCTGGCTGTAATGTGCGGCCGTTCCGTCCATGTCGACTTCACGCCGGAATCTCAGAGAAGCAGGCAGGACAGCATCCTGAGCAGCTTTACTCACTACACCAGTGACGGGGAGGGATCGATCCTGCTCTGAAAGGCTTTTCTCCGCCACCCTGCCTCCGCCAAGAACCCAGAGTTCTCCACTCTGGCTCAGCGTAACTGAAAACAGACTTACTTTTCCTGCTACGTCTTGTGTGCGAGAAATATGGACAAGACGCCTACAAAGCAACCCTGCCGTGTTTTTGAAGATTCTGTGTTCGATTCGTGAAAGGCGCACACATCTCTTACTGTAAAAGCTGACAAGTGACAAAGCTTCTAACCCGATTAGCATAATTACAAAGGGATTGGTGAGGGTTATTCTCATAGTCAGGCAGGCAAGGGGCGATTAAATCTCAGAATGAGTGGAAACCTAGGATCGAATCCAGCTAGAACATCCCCTCTCTGCCCTTGAGATCTCTGAGTAGTGCCAGGTCATCCAGGCCCACATTCCATGGCTCTATCATCAGAGAAGGGACCTGCTCTCTGTGATTCCAAGGTCAACTTTCCCAAGTTGTGTCACGTGGCCATCCCTTGATTAGGTGGTGGCTCTGAAGTAGATTGATCTGAGATATTGTTGGGACCTCAAAGCTAGCGGCTGAGGGAGACGCGCTCTCAGAAGTTGGAGGTGGGGAACTACCGTGGCAAGACAGGAATGTCTCATCTGCCTTACCGTACTTACCTCGCTGACTCAGGCTCTCCCCCCAGCAACCAACACGTGTCTACTGCCAGATTCCTCATTAAGCCTGTCTTTAGGATGTCCTGAAAACTTCAAGGGCCCCCACTGTTCACCACATAAAATGAAAACTCAAGGGCCTGGCCTCTGAGAGACGGTAGATCAGATGCAGTTCTAAAAATAGGCTCCATGTTGCCTCGTCCTTCCCACAGCAACCGACCCACGCTGCTGCAGTCTCCCACACCCCTCCCCTTCTCTCAGCCCCCACCCCCCCCCAGGTGGGCAGACAGAAAGAATCTCACTCTAGAGTGAAGGGATGAATTCATACCCCAACTCTGTCACTTACACACTGAGGAGACCGGAGGCAACCGAGCTTCAGCACCCTCCTCTACAGAAAGGGCACAGGGTACCCTCATCCTTTCTAGCGTGGCATATCAGCCAGGAATTTAGCTTTCCCAGTGTCCTGCCTCTGAGTGACAGTGCAGGTGGAGTGGGCCTGCAGGACAGCCAGGCGACAGGAGACTCATTGCTACAGAGATGGTCAACAACACCTATGTCTATTGATCCATGTCCAACTCTGGGCTGTCAATCAAGACCCAGGCTAAGAGAGCAGCTTGCTTTCTGTTCCCCCCCCCAAGCATCATGTGACCTAGCCACAGGGGATCCTTCATGCCTGCATGACTGGGGCTCATTTAGAGTCTGACTTTGAGAATTCTGGGACAGTGTAGTTCTATAACTTGCTCTAAAAAAAAAAAAAAAAAAAAAAAACACTGGATTAGGGCTGGAGAGATGGCTCAGCCGTTAAAGGCTAGGCTCACAACCAAAAAAAAAAAAAAAAAAAACCACTGGGTTCCAAATTACTCTCTGTTCCTGTGTAGCAATGACCATTTTAGAAGTCTCTCCCAGATGGTGGCCTCATTGAGGAAGTTGGGACATGTGGCTCATTGCAATGTGTCTGATATCCCCTTGGCAGTCTGCATGTTTGTTTCAAGGATAACAGCCTGAGTCATGTCCCTCACAGGCATGTCCAGCATTTTGACATTGCAACATGATGTTGTCTTCTACAAAGGTCACAACTGAGAACCTCAAAATTGAGTTACCAAAGTAGAGGGACTAGGAAGACAACTCAGTGAACTCAGTGGTTAGGAGCACTGGTAGCCCTTCCAGAGGGCTGGGGTTCAGTTCCCAGCACCCACATGGTGTCTAATAATGGTCTGTAACTCCAGTTCCAGGTGATCCAATGCCCTCTTCTGAGAGGCTTCAGGGAGCACCAGGCATGCACACGGTGAACAGACATACATGTACATAAAACAAGTAAACAACAAAAAACTTTTGATTTTTCAAGACAGGCTCTCTCTATGTGACTCTGGCTATTCTGAAACTTTCTAGGTAACCAGGCTGGCCTAGAACTCACAGAGATCCACCTGCCTCTACCAACCAAGGGCTGGGATTAAAGGTGTATGCCACCATGCCAGGCTTAGTAAATAATATTTTTAATTTCAAAAATACGTTTTGAATGATTTGGTGTTTCTCCATATTCACCCCTGTCCTGGGTCACACCTACATTATGTCTCTTTTACTTGTAATTCTGTACATTTGGTTTCCTGCCTATTTTTAGCAAATACAAATCTCACAGCACTTTAATCTGTGGAGTTTTCTTCTTCCTGTTCAGTTATTACTACCAGATAAATTCTTTGCCATGGGGATAATTGGACCAAAGGGTGTGGGAATGTTTCAGCTCTTCTCTCCAGTTATATACAGTTTTATCAAAAAGCACAGCCTGCCCACGCCTTTAAATCACAACACTCACGAAGCAGAGGTAGTCTGATCTCTGTGAGTTCAAGGCCAGCCCAGTCTACTGAGTAAGACCCTAACTTAAAAAAAGAAAAATAAATAAAAAGCTACATAGGGAAGGCCAGCTCGTCATCTGAGTCTAAGACATCTTGACCCTGACTAACCCAGATGTGATGACATCCATAAGTCTGTCAGAAATAACCATCTTGTCTCTCTGCAGTGACACCCGGACTGACGACCACAGTAAGAGCCCTTTCGAGTTTTTTGAAAAAATTTAACCCCAACTGATTGATCAATAGCGCGCGTGCGCGGGTCTGTGTATGCGTGTGTGTGTGTGTGTGTGTGTGCAGAAGTTGGGGCTCTCCTTCCACCAAGTGGGTCCTGGGATCAAAGTCAGGTTGTGGGGCTTGGTGGCAAGCGTCTTTATCTGAGGAGCCACCTCCCCAGCCCCCATTTAGTTTTTGATGCATATGTATGACCTTCATTTGATGAAGACAATTTGTTACAAACCCTTTATGATGCACATATTCTACATAACATAGGAGGGGGAATCCAGAGGCATTTCCTAGGCAGTGAGGCCTTACCTCTGCCCTCAATGGTTTCAGTTTCTGAGACAGAGTCTCACTATATACCCCTGGCTGGCCTGGAACTCGGAGATCCTCCTGCCTCTGTCTCTGAGTGCGGGGATTTCAGGTGTGCCTGCCACGCCCGGCTTGATTTCTGTAGACAGAAGTGGCTTGACTATGCTTGCTTACTGTGTAATAGCTCAGAGGTAAAGCACCTGATCTGAGACTTCAGTGACAAGAGCTTCTCCTGTAGTACAGTAACTGAAAGACCCAGAGACTGATATTGGGGTTCAAGCTTCAAGCTGAAGATCAGAAAAGCAAAGCAGCCGGCCACTAGCTCTCACCTCTAGCTCAGGCTGACAGGGCTGATCCATGGGCTCTCACCAAACCTCAGACTGCTGCCTCTCCTCAATGTGGCTGGAGAGAATCCTACTGAAGACCTTGATCCTATCTTTTATACCTTTCTAGTGCTGGGTGTAAAGGTGTGTGATATCATCCTTGTGTGAGCTGTTTCTCTTAGCACTGGATCGGTTTTATGTAGTCAGTGTGGCCTTGAACTAACAGAGATCCTTCTGTCTCTTAATCCTGAGTCCTGGGATTAAAGGTGTGTGCCTGGCTTCCATGGCTTGTAGTTGACTTTGCTTTCTGAATCCTTAGGCAAGCTTTAATCATAAATAATAATCACCACATTCTCCAGGCAAGGGAGGGTCTGTGGTGCCAAGAGGGATGGGTGTGAGCGAGTGAGAGAGAGAGAGAGAGTGAGAGAGAGAGAGAGAGAGAGAGAGAGAGAGAGAGAGAGAGAGAGACCATGAGGCTCTTAGAATGCCAGCTAAGCATGCAAAGACCGAAGGCAAGGCGTCAGCAGCACAGCTGGAAGGACATTTCTTGGCCTGGCATTGCTCTTCCTGGGGTTGACTCAGCCAGCAGGGGGTGGCAGCTCCCCTCCGGTGTCCAAGCCAATGCCAAATCCTCTTTCCAACTGTCCAGCCATGAGACTTTTCATTAAAATCAAACCTGTTTCTACACTCTCATGTCAGGAAGAATGAGTTCTTCAGGCCTAAGAAACAAGAGTAGGGAAACAAATATTTTCTTTTCTACAAACAAAGTAACTGCACTGAGCAAGTGAGAGGGGCCAGCAGATGAAAGGGCTTGCCACCAAAGCTGAGTTCAATCCTCAGGGCTCACGTGGTGCAAGGGGGCAGAAACAACGTCCACTTAGCTCTACACAGGCGCTGCAGCACATGTGCACATGTGTGCGTGAGCGTGCTCGCTCGAACACACACACTGAAATTAAAATAATAAATTAGTATGCTCTCATTGGCTTTGCTGAACAGGACAGGATAGGATGAACACAAGGAATTTCACTGGAGATCCCCACATGACAAGGACACACTGGAAGTAGTTGGCCGTTGGCATATGAGGATCAGACCTTGCGCTGCCTCAGAGCTCTGGGTTCCAGAGTGCGAGGGGGCGGTGGTGCACTCTGGAGGCAGGAGATGTGTGACATCTCTGCACATACGCTGAGGCCTTCAGCAAGTTCCTTACCCTCTTGGAGGCCCCACGCTCTCATCAGAGAGAAAGGAACGCAGGCAGAGCACCTCTGGATTCACATCTGGCTATGAGAGCTCAAGCAGGAGTGGCCCTGTTCTCCCTGGCGCTCCCTCTCTGCAGAGCCACACACCCACTAGCCTGTCCTTACCTTTTTATTTTCCTTAGTTCCAGAAGTAACCGGGTCCAAATGCACGCTTTGCCTAGGCTGCCTTTTGTGATGGGTTGGTTGGGGCAGGATGTATGCGTGCGTGCGTGCGTGCGTGCATGTGTGTGTGTGTAGGTTTCATTTCAGGAGTCATCCACCTCGATTTTTGAGACAGCCTTGAGTCTCTCTCTCATTGAGGTCTGGGTTTCACCAATTAGGCTAAGCTGGCTGGCCAGGAGCCCAAGGATCCGACTATCACCGACTCCCCTGTACAAGGACATGTGCATGCCGGCCTTTTACCCTTGGGGTCAAACTTGAACCCTTGAACTTGCACAGGGGGCACTCTACTGACTGAATTACTTCTCCAGCCCCCAAACACCCATTTTGTAGCTAAGGAAAAGGTGGCCAGTCGGGACCCACAGCAAACTCCTGAAAAGGCAGGCCCTAGCCTCCCAGGGTGCCCTGCCCTTCTCCCTCACCTACTCTCTGGGAGCAGAGACCACAGGCAGGTAACGGAAAACTGAGTAAGAGAGGGTCTGCAGGGCTGTGGCCACGGAGAGGTTGAGGCATGTGACCTAGACTTCAGCTTCTGTCATGTGCACAGCCATCAGTGACATCACTATATTTACTGATGGATGGATGGGATGCACAGTAAAGCCTACAGGACACCCAGAGGCAAATGCAATCAGCAGCCTCAGGAAGGACCCAGACGGAAGACACACATGGTAGATGGCAAGGAGAGCTATGCCCAGGTGTTGCCCAGCATTTGGCTGAATGCCAAGTCCACTCACTTCAGTCCAAGCTCGGTCAGGGGCGTTCTACAGAGCAGATCCCCCATGGGGACCTTAACGCTGAGAAATGGGAACAGTATGTGCTTTCCGTTCCTGGGAGCAACTTTCGGTTCATACCAAGCATTGCAAGTGGGATATAGGCAGGGTCTCAGCCCCTAATTTTCTTCCCCACTACACCGCACCGCACCGCACCGCTGGGGACCCCTGCAGCTGTGTCTTGACTGGAAGATAGTGTTTGCATAGCTGGTTTAACAGGCAACCTCATTTGGGACAGTCCCAAAATTGATATCCAAAAGTTGGTCTCGGCACATTTAGAAATGGCCAGCTCCAGCAGGTGGAGGGTACACTTAACCCCAGCACTCACTGTAATCCCAAAGGCAGGCAGGTCTTTGAAAGGATCAGAAAAATCAACAAATCAAAGAAAGGCGCCTCTGCAGTCCAGCTTGTTTCCTGGAGTCCAGGCCCCAAGTCCCCAGAAGTGCTTGCTGATAAAGCATGGGGTTCAGCCCCCAGAACCTGTGTGAAAGAGCTGGGCGCAGGGCAGGAGAGCTGGTTCATCAGGTTAAAAAAAAAAAAGTGCTTGCTGGCAAGCCCGGTGACCTGAGTTCGATCCCTGAGACCCCCATGGTGGAGAGAGAACTGATTCCCACAAGTTGTCCTCTGACTTCACGCGTGCGTGTGCACAAGCACACACCCAAACACACGTGCACACAGATAGTGTAGGAGAGGAGGGAAAGGAAAGCTGCAAGTCACTGCACAGGTTTGTAATCTCTGTGCTGGGTGCTGGGGGTGGGGAGGGTTTCAGACCAACCAGACTAGTCTAATCAATACCAGAGCATGGATGGGAGAGCCTGTCTCAAACTCAAGGTTGAGAACAGCATCCAGGGTTGTCCTCTGGCCTACACGCATACTCAAGTGAACCTGCACACACATGTCACACATGTACACACACATGCACACACAAAGCAATTAAAACTGCTTTTAGAATTCATGCTGTGTAAGTCACAGACGTTTCCCTTGCCTGCCTGGTTATCGTTTCTATTTCATTAGCAAAATCCACAACAGGATTTAGTTATTTGTTTGTTTAGTTTGGTTTTTTGAGACAGGGTTTCTCTGTGTGGCCTTGGCTGTCCTGGAACTCACTCTGTAGACCAGGCTGGCCTCAAACTAGCAGAGATCTGCCTGCCTCTGCCTCCCAGGTGCTAGGATTAAAGGTGTGCACACCACCACCCAGCTAATGGGTTTTATTTGTAATTATATTCATTTATCCACTCATTCTTAGTGTGTAGTGGGGGCAGGGTTCATGACATCAACTTACAACGTGCATGTAGAGGTCTGAGGACAACTTCTGTGAGTCCTCCCTTGTTCTGAGAGAGAAGGCTCCTCTTATTCCTGCTGCAGATTCTGATTCATTCTCCTGTCTCTGCCTCCATTTCACAAGAGGTGTGTGTGTGCGCGCACGTGTGTGAGTGTGTGTGTGTGAGACAATGGGGTGCTCAGGTGCCCATCACCTACCTATAACTACTGTGTCTGTGTGTGTGAGAGAGATGTACAAGGTAAACACACCTAGACACTCCTCTGCCCCTATCTGAGCAATACCCAGAACATGGATATTCTACGTGTCCTACATGGAATGTGAGAGGAAAAGGAAAGCCACCGTCGCCTCCCTCAGACTGCAGCCTCACACTGAGAAGGTCTGGAAAAGATCCAGGAGGTCTGGGGCAGGAAACTCTATTCTTCAAAAGCTTGCCTGAGAAATGGGCTGGTGGGGAGGAGCTGTGTGAGATGAGGGTTGGGAGGGGTTGG